TCAACCCCCTGTGATACAATATAATCCAACCTAAACAACAACACCATGCAATATATATCACCCAACTCTTGGTCGCCAAGACCTTTTCCTCCCCAGGAAGTCCAAAATTTTCCCAGCATCCAATCAAATCAACTCCATCAATGTATATCCTTCAGTGTCTTTACAATTCTTCAGGATTCTCTAAATTCTTAATAAAGGGACATCCTCTTCTCTTCTTCTTTTAACCCTCAAAAAATATCACATAGAGAGCGCACATAGTGCATTATCTATGCCTGACCATATAAATCAAACTAAAATATACTCACAAAAAGTGCTCAAAGCATGTAAAAATTTGTGATATCCATAATTCCTACTTTTACCCTGTAATAATTAATAACTTGCTCAAATGTATTTCCAACTCGTGTGTTCTTGCTTCCAAATTACTCCTTCTGAATTATCGTTCCTTCCAGAATTTAAAATCCATATGCAGTCAGGTCCATAAATATTGGGACATCAACACAATTGTAACATTTTTGGCTCTATACACCACCACAATAGATTTGAATGAAACAAACAAGATGTGCTTTAACTGCAGACTGTCGGCTTTAATTTGAGGGTATTTACATCCAAATCAGGTGAACGGTGTAGGAATTACAACAGTTTGCATATGTGCCTCCCACTTGTTAAGGGACCAAAAGTAATGAGACAGAATAATAATCATAAATCAAACTTTCACTTTTTAATACTTGATTGCAAATCTTTTGCAGTCAATTACAGCCTGAAGTTTGGAACGCATAGACATCACCAGACGCTGGGTTTCATCCCTGGTGATGCTCTGCCAGGCCTCTACTGCAACTGTCCTCAGTTCCTGCTTGTTCTTGGGGCATTTTCCCTTCAGTTTTGTCTTCAGCAAGTGAAATGCATGCTCAATCGGATTCAGGTCAGGTGATTGACTTGGCCATTGCATAACATTCCACTTCTTTCCTTTAAAAAACTCTGGTTGCTTTTGCAGTATGCTTTGGGTCATTGTCCATCTGCACTGTGAAGCGGCGTCCAATGAGTTCTGAAGCATTTAGCTGAATATGAGCAGATAATATTGCCCGAAACACTTCAGAATTAATCCTGCTGCTTTTGTCGGCAGTCACATCATCAATAAATACAACCAGTTCCATTGGCAGCCATACATGCCCACGCCATGACACTACCACCACCATGCTTCACTGATGAGGTGGTATGCTTAGGATCATGAGCAGTTCCTTTTTCCTTCTCCATACTCTTCTCTTCCCATCACTCTGGTACAAGTTGATCTTGGTCTCATCTGTCCATAGGATGTTGTTCCAGAACTGTGAAGGCTTTTTTAGATGTCATTTGTCAAACTCTAATCTGGCCTTCCGGTTTTTGAGGCTCACCAATGGTTTACATCTTGTGGTGAACCCTCTGTATTCACTCTGGTGAAGTCTTCTCGATTGTTGACTTTGACATACTTACACCTACCTCCTGGAGAGTGTTCTTGATCTGGCCAACTGTTGTGAAGGGTGTTTTCTTCTCCAGGGAAAGAATTCTTCGGTCATCCACCACAGTTGTTTTCCATAGTCTTCTGGGTCTTTTAGTGTTGCTGAGCTCACCTGTGCATTCCTTCTTTTTAAGAATGTTCCAAACAGTTGTTTTGGCCACGCCTAATGTTTTTGCTATCTCTCTGATGGGTTCGTTTTGTTTTTTCAGCCTAATGTTGGGCTGCTTCACTGATAGTGACAGCTCTTTGGATCTCATCTTGAGAGTTGACAGCAACAGATTCCAAATGCAAAGAGCACACTTGAAATTAACTCTGGACCTTTTATCTGCTCATTGTAATTGGGATAATGAGGGAATAACACACACCTGGCCATGGAACAGCTGAGAAGCCAATTGTCCCATTACTTTTGGTCCCTTAACAAGTGGGAGGCACATATGCAAACTGTTGTAATTCCTACACCGTTCACCTGATTTGGATGTAAATACCCTCAAATTAAAGCTGACAGTCTGCAGTTAAAGCACATCTTGTTTGTTTCATTTCAAATCCATTGTGGTGGTGTAAAGAGCCAAAAATGTTAGAATTGTGTCAATGTCCCAATATTTATGGACCTGACTGTAGTGTAGTATTATCAACAATTATTATCATTCCACACTGTGCTCCAGTGATAACAGGCCATTGACCACCAATGCATGAGACAATAAGAAAATCCACCACCTTCTAAACCATGCACCTTACCAAATAGTAAAGCAAACACAGATTTTCACAAATAGACTGCTCCGTAGCCAATATTGCTCTTGTTGTTCTGTCACTATGCCCATATGTATAGATCAAAACAGAATAGACACCATTTTGTAATATGTCAAAACAACTTCTAATTTATTAGATGAAAAGCGCATACATGGTTGTGATGTACCTCAGCATTATTTCAAATAATTTGGACCGGACCTCATCCAAAATGGCCACCACGCAACTTCCGGTTGGCGTCTGATGTCAGGAAGTCATTACGACTTTTTCAAAGGATGCGTCTGTCAGACAAGCGGCCAGCTTTATACTTTCATCCTGCCCTTACACACACAAGCCTAGGTCACCATCTTGGAATTGGGCTGCAGCGCTGACTAAACTAAAATTCTTACACTCATCACAATATTTTATTAGACACTCCTAAAATATATATAAAATGAAATGGATCAACTAAAATTAAAATTAAATAAAATAAAATTAAAAGCATCCCCAAAGTGAATTTCAAGATAAAATATAAATTATAAAATAAATAAGCCTAATTACATCTAGTGGTGAAATATATAAATGACATCATTAAACGTTAACTCATCCATACAATGGAATTAATACCTCCTCTTCATCTATTTTTAATTTTATGGGTTCCCTATTTAAATAGAGTAAATATGGGAGTATATAATCACTGCACGCAGTGAATAATACCTAACATATGAACTAAGAAATGGATATATACAATTTATAATAATTACAATCCAAATACACTGTGAACCCTAATGGATGTGTGATGTTACCAGGAGGGGGAAATAGAACTACATCCCATTACTGGAGCCCTATTACATGTATGATGCTATCCAGGAGGGGGGCGATAGCACCACATCCTATTACAGGTATTATTCATATACCTCCAAGGACAACAAAAATCTATCAGATGGAAATGTCCCAGGATAGGTAATAAATGCTCCTCCAACCTACTACAGAATCAACACAAGTTTGTATAGTTAAGAGTTGGAAATGAAACAATTCAATCCAATTCCACATTAGGCCCTCTAGCTTTCATAGTACTGATCTCATACTGTATATCCAAAAGGTTTCATTCTTTGAAATTTCCCTCCTTTTATTTAACCCCTTCCAATTATCCTCAATTTTATTGATTCCACAAAATGTTAATAGAGATGGGTCACAATTATGAACATCCCTAAAATGTTTAGATAAACTGTAATCTTTCTTACCCTTCTTTATATTAGTCACATGTTCCCTTAATCTGATGTATAGCTGTCTTATGGTGTGCCACACATATTGGAATTTACAAGGGCATTCAAGCAAATACGTTACACAAAGGGTGGTGCATGTAATGAACTTCTTGATATTATATTCCTTGCTAGTCATCTGGGATATAAAACTATCTATCTTCCTTGCTTTCATTCCTGTTATCCTACAAATATTACATTTGCTGCAAGGAAAAAAACTTTTTAATTCAAACATCTTCTTGTTACTTATTCTGGGTGGTGATACAATGCTCTTCACTAATTTATTTCGCAAGTTGGTTGCTTTCCTATAAATGAATGATGGTTTCTTGGGCCCATTACTCCCTAAGGGCGTAACCCTGAGGACGTGCATGCGCATGAAATGCTTCAGGTGGAGCCACATTTGCTGACGTCACGCCGCTGCTGAAGTCCGGAGTGGTGGCAATCTTGGTATTTTCTTTTGCATATTTACTTATTTGACTCCATGTGGATGCTTTTAACTTATAATTTATTTAAATAAATACTAAACTATATACCATTTCCTGGCTCCTGTGGTGAGCTATTTCCATTAGGACAAAGGCTTATCTTTCAACAGTGCCCAAGACAAAGCAGTTAATTTTAACCTCTTGGCTGCCCCCTGCCTCAAGATGTGTTATGCTTGAATGCCTGTTACCAGTTTTATTCTGTTGAGTGCAAATCCGATAGAGGTGGTAGAGTCCCTTGTGTGATCAATACTATACTTGCACTCAGCACCTTTATTTTGTTGCACCTTATTGCTCTACAGACATCCACTTGGCATTTTATGGATTCAGTATTTTATCAATATCACGTATAATCACGGACATTATTATTATCCGTTTATTTTACCTTAATCTTGCATTTTAGTGCGCGTTATATCTTGTAACATCGTGGACATTATTATATTATCTTGTTTATGATGCACTTCACTGTTCCGTTCTATTCTTTGAAGTTGATTTGCTGACAGATTTGCACTTTTATATGATGCACTTTACTGTTCCTCTCAATCCATACAGTTTATGATGCACTTAAATGTTCCGTTCAATTTTCAGAGTTGATTTGCCGATAGATTTACACCTTTATGTGATGCACTTTACTGTTTTGCTTAATTCACCAGTTCTTTTTGATGCATTTCTAGCGCTGGACTTTTTTACATATCGTATTTTTCGCTCCATAAGATGCACTTTTTTCCCCCAAAAAAAGGGGGGAAAATGTCAGTGCGTCTTATGGAGCGAATATAAAGCGGCCGGTCCGGTATTTCCGCCGCCACCATGTCAGAATATCAGGCCGGCCGCTCAGCTGTTCTCTGCAGCAGGAACTCACCTGTTCCTCGGTCCAGTGCTGTAGTCTTCCCGCAGTCTCTGATCATCTCCTGTACTGTGTCCGCAGTCTCTGGTCATCTCCTGTACTGTGTCCACAGTCTCTGGTCATCTCCTGTACTGTGTCCGCAGTCTCTGGTCATCTCCTGTACTATGTCTGCAGTCTCTAGTCATCTCCTGTAGTGTGTCCGCAGTCTCTGGTCATCTCCTGTACTGTGTCCGCAGTTTATGGTCATCTCCTGTTCTATGTCTGCAGTCTCTAGTCATCTCCTGTAGTGTGTCCGCAGTCTCTGGTCATCTCCTGTACTGTGTCCGCAGTCTCTGGTCATCTCCTGTAGTATGTCCGTAGTCTCTGGTCATCTCCTGTACTGTGTCCACAGTCTCTGGTCATCTCCTGTACTGTCTGCAGTCTCTGGTCATCTCCTGTACTGTCCACAGTCTCTGTTCATCTTCTGTACTGTCCACAGTCTCTGTTCATCCCCTATACTGTCCGCAGTCTCTGGTCATCCCCTATACTGTCCACAGTCTCTGGTCATCCCCTATACTGTCTGCAGTCTCTGGTCATCCCCTATAGTGTCCGCAGTCTGTGGTCATCTCCTGTAGTATGTCCGCAGTCTCTGGTCATCTCCTGTACTATATCTGCAGTCTTTGGTCATCTCCTGTACTGTGTTCGCAGTCTCTGGTCCTTCTCCTGTACTGTGTCTGCAGTCTCTGGTCATCTCCTGTACTGTGTCCACAGTCTCTGGTCATTTCCTGTACTGTGTCCACAGTCTCTGGTCATCTCCTGTACTGTCTGCAGTCTCTGGTCATCTCCTGTACTGTGTCCGCAGTCTCTGGTCATCTCCTGTACTGTGTCCACAGTCTCTGGTCCTTCTCCTGTACTGTGTCCACAGTCTCTGGTCATCTCCTGTACTATGTCCGCAGTGTCTGGTCACTTCCTGTACTATGTCTGCAATCCATTGGTTCAGAATATTTTTTTTTCTTGTTTTTCTCTTCTAAAACCTAGGTGCGTTTTATGGAGCGAAAAATACGGTATATAGTTTTATCTGTGCTTAGATGCTTGTCTCATCAGTTTGATAAATTTTTAGCTCCAGGAACTATTTTTAGATCCTTGTCTCAACAGTTTGATCTCTTTAGATCCTCATCTCACCAGTTTGGTCTGTGTTTAGATGCTCGTCTTATCAGTTTGATCTGTTTTTCGCTCCAGGATCTATTTTTAGATCCTCGTCACAACAGTTTGATCTATTTCTAGATCCTTGTCTAAACAGTTTAATTGATTTTTTTTAAAGCTGGTCTCAACAAATTCAATCTACTTTAGATCCAGGATCTATTTTTAGATCCTGTTCTCAACAGTTTAATCAGTTTTAGATCCGGGTCTCATCGGTTTGATCTATGTTTAGATCCTCGTCTCAACAGTTTTATCTGTGTTTTGATTCTCGTCTCAACAGTTTGATCTATTTTTAGATCCTTGTCTCAGCAGTTTGATCTATTTCTAAATTTTGCCCTCAGTAGTTTCATATATGTTTAGATCCTCATCTCAACAGTTTGATCTATTTTTAGAACCTCATCTCAACTGTTTGATCTATTTTTACATTTTGGTCTTAACTATTCTACTAATATTTAGTATATGGATATATTTTAAGATCCAGTATCTATTTTTAGATCCTGGTCTCAACAGTTTGATCTATTTTTTAGATCCTGGCCCCAACAGTTTGATCTATTTTTTAGATCCTGGCCTCAACAGTTTGATTTGTGTTTAGATCCTTGTCTCAACAGTTTGATCAATTTTTAGATCCTTTTCTCAACATTTTGGTATATTTTTAGATTCTTGTTTCAACAGTTTGATCTATTTCTAAATGTTGTTCTCGGCAGTTTGATCTATTTTTAGATCCTTGTCTCAGCAGTTTGATCCATTTCTAAATTTTGGCCTCAGCAGTTTGATTTATTTTTGGATCCTCTTCTCAACAGCTTGGTCTATTTTTAGGTCCTCATTTCAACAGTTTGATCTATGTTTAGATCCTCTTATCAACAGTTTGATAGATTTTTAGATCCTGGTCTCAACAGTTTGATTGATTTTTATAGATCCTTGTCTCAACAGTTTGATAATTTTTTTATAAATCCTCCTCTCAACAGTTTGATTAATTTTTTTATATCCTCATCTCTAGAGTCTTGTTTATTTATTTGTTTTAGATCCTGGTCTGAACAGTTTGATCTATGTTTAGATCCTTGTCTCAACAGTTTGATCTATGTTTAGATTCTTGTCTCAACAGTTTGATTGATTTTTAAAAGCTGGTCTCAAAAAAATCAATCTATTTTAGATCCAGGATCTATTCTTAGAACCTGGTCTCAGCAGTTCAATCAGTTTTAAATCCAGGTCTCAACTGTTTGATCAATTTTGAAATGCTGGTTAAATCTATTTTAGATCCAGGATCTGTTTTTCTCGTCTTAACAGTTTGATCGATTTTTTTTTAAAATGTTGGTCTCAACAATTCAATCTATTTTTGATCCAGGATCTGTTTTACGATCCTGGTCTCAACAGTTCAATCCTTTTTTAGGTCCAGAATCTATTTTTAGATCCTGGTCTCAACAGTTTGATCCATTTTTAGATCCTCGTCTCAGCAGTTTGATCTGTTTTTCGAAATTTTGGCCTCAGCAGTTTTATCAATTTTTAGAACCTTGTCTCAACTGTTTGATCTATTTTTACATTTTTACTATTCTACTTATATTTAGAATACGAATATATTTTTAGATCCTTGTCTCAACAGTTTGATCGCTTTTTTAGATCCTTGACTCAACAGTTTACATCTTGACTCAAATGTTTTACATCTTCATCTGAACAGTTTAATCTATGTTTACATCCTGGACTCAACAGTTCAATCTATTTTTAGATCCAGGATCTATTTTTAGATCCAGTTCTCAACAGATTGATCAATTTTTAAATGCTGTTCTCAACAATTCAATCTACTTTTATTGATTTTAGATTCTGGTCTCAACAGCTTAATCGATTTTTAGATCCTTGTCTCAACAGTTTGATCAATTTTTATAGATCCTCCTCACAACAGTTTGATCAATTTTTTTTATTTTTAGATCCAGTTCTCAACAGTTTGATCTATGTTTACATCCTCATCTCAACAGTTTGATCTATTTCTAGATCCAGGATCTATTTTTAGATCCTAGTCTTAACAGCTTAATCGATTTTTAGATGTTTGTCTCAACAGTTTGATTTATGTTTAGATCCTTGTCTCAACAGTTTAATCATGTTTAGATCCTCATCTCAACAGCTTGATCTATTTTTAGATCCTCATCTCAACAGCTTGATCTATTTTTAGATCTTCGTCTCGATAGTATGATCCTTGTCTCAACAGTATGAGCTATGTTTACATCTTCATCTCAACAGTTTGATCCATGTTTACATCTTCGTATCATCAATTTGATCTATGTTTACATCCTGGTCTCAACAGTTCCATCAATTTTAGATCCTCGTCTCAACGGTTTGATTGATTTTTAGATCCTCGTCTCAATATTTTTTTTTTGATCCTGGTCTCAACAGTTCAATATATTTTGGTTCATGGTCTAAACCATTTGATCTATTTTTAGATCCTGGTCTCAACAGTTTGGCCTAAATTTAGATCAACAATCTATTTTAAGATCCTGATATCTACAGTTTGGTCTAAATTTAGATCCTTGCCTCAAGTGTTCGGTCTATTTTTAGATTTTGGTCTCAACTATTCTATTCATTTATATGAATTTAGCTGTTTTTAAATTCAGGGTCTATTTTTGGATTCTGGTCTCAACAATTCAATATTTTTTTTTAGATCCTGGTCTCTACAGTTCAATCTTTTTTTAAATCTTGGTCTCAACAGTTCAATCTATTTTTAAATTTTGGTCTTAACAGTTCCAACTATTTTTAAATTTTGGTCTCAACAGTTCGATCTATTTTTAAATCTTGCGCTCAGCAGTTCAATCTTTTTTTAGATCAAGGATCTATCCTTGTCTCAACAGTTTGATCTTTTTTTATATTCTGGTCTCAACAGTTCAATCTACGTTTAGATCCAGAATCTATTTTTAAATCATGGTCTCAACAGTTTGATCTATTTTTAAATCCTGGTCTACACAGTTCAATCTATTATTAGATCCAAGATCTAGTTTTAGATCCTCGTCTCAACAGTTTGTTCTATTTTTAGATCCAGGATTTCTTTTTAGAACTTGGTATCAACAGTTCAATCTATTTTTAGTTCCAGGATCTATTTTTAGATCCTGGTCTCAACAGTTCAATCAATTTTTTGATCCTGGTCTCAACAGGTCAATCTATTTTTTGATCCTGGTCTCAACAGGTGCATCTATTTTTAGATCCTGGTCTCAACAGGTGCATCTATTTTTAGATCCTGGTCTCAACAGGTCAATCTATTTTTAGATTCTGTTCTCAACAGTTCAATCTAATTTTAGATCCAATATCTATATTTAAACCCTGGTCTCAACAGTTCAATCCATTTTTTAGATCCTGGTCTCAACAGTTCAATTTATTTTTAGATCCTAGTCTTAACAGTTTTATATGTAATGTTAAACCCTGATCTCAACAGTTCAATCTATTTTTAGATCCTGATCTCAACAGGTCAATCTATTTTTAGATTCTGAGTCTATTTTTAGATCCTGGGCTCAACAGTTTAACCTTTTTTTAGATCCTGGGCTCAACAGTTTGATCTATTGTTAGATCCTGGTCTCAACATTTCAATATATTTTTAGATCCACAATCTATTTTTAGATTCACAATTTATAGATTCAGGATCTATTTCTAAATCCTGGCCTCAACAGTTCAATCTATTTTTAGATGCTGAGTTCAACAGTTCAATGTATTTCTAGATCCTGGCCTCAGCAGTTCAATCTCTTTTTGATCTAGGATCTATCTTTTGATACTGGTCTCAACAGTTTAACCTATTTTTTAGATCCTGGTCTAATCAGTTTGATCTATTTTTAGATCTGGGATCTGTCTTTACATCCTGGTCTCAACAGTTCAATCTATCTCTAGATTTAGATCTTCATCTCTACAGCTTGTTCTATGTTTAGATCCAAGATCCACCATTAGATATTGGTCTCAACAGTTCAATCAATTTTTAGAATCTGGGCTCAACAGTTCAATCAATTTCTACATTCTGGTCTCAGCAGTTCAATCTATTTCTAGGTCCTGGTCTCAACAGTTCCATCCATTTCTAGATCCTTGTCTCAACAGTTCGATCTATTTTTAGATCCTTGTCTCAACAGTTTGATCTATTTCTAAGTCCTAGTCTCAACATTGCAATACATTTCTAGATCCTGGTCTGAACAGTTCGAACTATTTTTAAATTCAGGGTCTATTTTTGGATTCTGGGCTCAACAATTCAATATTTTTTTTAGATTCTGGTCTCTACAGTTCGATCTATTTTTAAATCCTGCTCTCAACAGCTCAATCTATTTCTAAGTTCTAGTCCCAACATTGCAATACATTTCTAGATCCTGGTCTGAACAGTTCCATCTGTTTTTAGATGCTGGTCTAAACAGTTTGATCTATTTCTAGGTCCTGGTCTTAACAGTTCGATCTATTTCTAGAACTTGGTCTGAACATTTTAATCAATTTTCAGATCCTGATCTCAACAGGTCAATCTATTTTTAGATTCTGAATCTAATTTTAGATCCTGGGCTCAAC